TCGAGGTTAGGCATTTGGTATTTGTTTTTATGTATGTATTTTTTAATTTTTTTTGGAATCTAAGGCAAGTTTAACTGATTGGTTCTTTTGACTGTGATAACAATTGGGCTGATGAATTGTTTGTCTGAACACTTGTCGAATTTGATGATGTGTTTTTAATCATTCAAATTGTTTAATTCCGCTTCGACCCTTTCTTGTAGATGTAAGATGTATTTATACGTCTACCCTTTTGCTGTATCGGTTCGAACTCTCTACTGAATTGTGTTCTCATTACGTGGTGTTTTGACTTTCCTATGCGTATGCATAGTTGTTGAAAATTATCCTTGACCCATTGTTTAGTTTCGTGGTTTGACTCGTCGTTTCGTTGAACATTGAGTACCCTGGGTGTTTGTTTTTCCTGAATCAAAATAATGCCGATGCGTGGTAATAGGTTCCGTCCTATTTTATTTGCCTTGTGATTATCCACTATGATGAACGGAGCTGTTTGTTTTTTCCATCCTCCCTACTCAATTGTAATTATCAGTCTTCCTTTTGGATTTATTGATTAGCCGTTATAGCATGCTAAATTTCCGGCAGTATCCTCCTGTGGGATATTTTTAAAAACTGCCGTTTGATCATTTTGTTTTATTCGTTGAGCGGTTTTTTCGTTTAGGAAGACACCGGGATGCCCGAGTCAGCATTAGCGAATAGTTCTGTTGTGTTCGTTTTCACTTTAACAATATGTCCATTTAGATTGTCTTTGGATAGTGTTTTTTTGTTTTGTATTTAGAATGACTCCGATATCGCCATTACAGAAAATTCGTCTATTTGGTAGTTCTCCCAACCATTGTTTGCGGAGAACTCAGCAATTGCGACAGGGTCAGTGTCCGTTTCCGTGCTCTCGATTTCTGTTTCCTCTTGTTGTTCATCATTTGTGTTTACTAAATAATTTAGGTTTGTAGAACGGCAAACTTTTGCGACGTGTCCGCATTTTGCGCATTTCGAGCAAATTTTGTCTTTTGCCGGACATGATTGTAGATGGTTTGGACCATATTGATTCCCACACTTACAACATTGTCCTGAATTTGTGTTTCGTTGTTGTTGATGCTGTTGACCTCTTGTGTTTTGTGATCCACGTGAATACGGCGGCCGCGAAAACCGCCCCGACCTCGCTGATTGTTTTGATTGTACTGCTGATTTTGTCTGTCACGTGTATTTACGTAATGGACCGGCCCTTGTTTTGTAGTCACTGTTTGACCTCTGATCACATTTATTTTCATTGTACGACTGTGTTCTAATCCTTTTTCTCGTCGTATCGCGTACTCGTATGCCTCCTGTGGGCTACGTGTTTGTGCCAGCAATTCTTCTGCAATTTTTTCATTGTTCATGTGGGCCGTAAACACTCCCTTTGGGCCCTTACCCACTCACTTTCTCGGTCGTCGCAGCCAGCCCTTGAAGCTAGTTCCACTAAGTCAGCATGAAAATGTTCTAGACTCTCTGCTTTCTTTTGTTTTCGACAGATAAACGTATACCTCTCAAAAGCTATTATGCGTGTTGTGACGAATATTTCTACTAAAAAAACAGTCATGAATTCTTGTGCAGTTATCGTGTGTAGTTGTAAATTAGGTCGTTTTTGTTGGATTTGGCGCTGTCCTTCAGCGCTGAGACACAAGAAAAGATAGCTGCGTACTTTTGCGTCCGCTTCGTCCCATCTAAATGAGTTACATAGAACTCCTTTCTCACGCGGTTTTCCCAGCCCACTCTTTTTTCTTGATATGTACCTCTCGGTTTTTCCTTTGGGCTTCCGTTTCACCGGTTATTTCGACCTCGTATACTGGTTCAGATGGCTCTACTAACTCTGGTCTTGTTCGTAAAATTGTTCGAATTTCGATGCCGTCTTTTGCGAATAGTGCCAATTCCAATATTGCCGCCCATTTTTTCCACTCTAATGGGGGTTCGGCCGATGCTCGTTCCCAGAATGGGTTTATGTTTAGCGGGCTCTTCGAAAATCTTGGTGGTTGCGCTATGTCATACAGCTAAGTCCTCAAGGTATGAACTGCTAATTGCTGAATCCGTATGGATAGATAATATCGGGCGCGCGCGAGAGAGAGAGAGAGAGAGAGAGAGAGAGAGAGAGAGAGAGAGAAGTTAAAATAACTAGTTAATGTTAACGTTAATTCGCTTTCTGAACCGTATTTCACTTTAACCGCCGTTCTCGCCCTCGCTATCAAGGTCAATTGACCAGTACACATTAACGTTACATAATATCAAGACATAAATGATGTGCAAATACATAATAAGTTTTATATGGAGTTTTATCTATCCATGCCGGAAGACAATCACATTTGCTCTTGATGTAATGCACTAGAAAAACTGATATTGAGTTTTTAAAGAACAGTTGCGTCTAGGTTTCGGTATCTGTTAAGAAATTGTCTTTCAAGCATAGATCGCGTTGAGTAACTTGCATTTTCAAACATTTATCGGGACTTAGCTAATTCGTTGCCAGAAAATTGTACGCTTTAGGGAATAAGATACGTAAAAATTTGTTTCTAGTTTCAGTGAACAATGCTGGCTGATTGATAAGATCTTATTGGTAAGTTGGCTTCTTGGGTGTTATATTCTACTTTTCCATCAATCAATGCTTTTTTGTTTTTGAAAATTTTACAATACCAATATTTGGAGGCAGTTTCAGGCAATAAATACTCAATTTTGGTTCGAAACCTGAGAAAACATTGTATCGAAATCATTTTGTTTATTCATCATCAAAGAATTGACAAGATCATTTTAGTTTCTGAAGAGTCGAAAAACATGTTAATTATAAACCATTGAACAGGTGTTGTAGTCATAATTTCTTTGTCTCGTGGCCTGGGATTTGGTGTTTTATCCCAACTTTTTTAACAAAATTGGCCAGCCTTTTGCAATCAAATTTGGTATTCGCACACCATATCTCAGGCCATGAGACAAAGAAGTTACCACTAAAACACCGGTTCAGATGTTTATAATTAACATTGACATGTTTTTGACACTGATCTTGTAAAATTAAACTGATCTTGTAAGTTTGAGAAGTTAAGCAAATTTACTGATCAGACAAAAGTGATTCGCAAAGTCAAATGCATGCGCTGTTTTTTTTCTAGTGGTAACTCATTCGGCAAAAAGCATATGCGCTTAGTTTGCTAAATATTTTTGTGGCAAAATTGCCGACAAGACAGTTTCAGCAGCGTTAAACTTTTGCATTACGAGGCCAAACTGTGCATTTTGTGCATTGTAAGCGGATTCCGCAACAAGGACGCTCCCTTGGTTCTTCTTTTGTTCATTCCTTCTCTTTACTCGTTCCGACAAAATTTTAACATGTTTGAAGACTTGTCTCTGGAATCCAGGAACATACAGACACAAAATTGTGCTCCTACCCAGTGCACAGTTTGGCCTCGTAATGTAAAATGTGCATGGTTTTAAAATGTGCGTGCGTGATCAGTTTGGGATGCGAACTACATTGGTCAGGCAGAGAGACACAATTATCTGCTTACCCATATTTTTCCTTTTCAAAAAATGCTCTAAGTGGAAAAAACGGAAGTTATTTGTACATATTTCGACCCTGTTAAACTAATAAAAAATTCTCGATATACTTTCGATTTTAGGTATTTTGATCGGCACACTATAGAAAAATCTGTACTCTAATTTTTACCTAATTTATTATTTAAACTGCCATCTGCAGTTAAGTGTCAGTAGCCGATGCTAGCCAACAATAGCAGTGAAATTTTTGAGATGAGAATGAGAATGGATTTTTGGATGTTTTGCCCACATTCATTTGTGGTTTCTAGGCTATGATAAAAAAGCGGCCTGCTTTTCGGACGAGTTCAATTATTCAAATTCGGACGAGTTCAATTATAACCATAGCATATTAGCCATACTTCAAATCAAATTTTGAAGCGGATAAACCCTGCAGGTAGCAATTAAAATAATTGCATTTTACGGGGTTAAATTTGTAAATAATTTTATGAAATGAACATGATTGTCCATCATTAAATAGAATATTGAGCGCTTCTTTTTTACATTTGAGGATATTCCGCTCGCGCCGGCGTTTTTTATGCAATTATCTCGCTTCTTATAGGACGACAATAAGAAAGTTTTTTAAAAATCCATCAGCTTATGAAAGCTATTGAAGCAGCTTTCTGAAATGAAAAATCTTTTTTTTTCTGAAGTGTTTTATTCAAAAAATGGTTCCCACTTTTCCATTGTTGCCTTCTGAATAGATTTTATTGTCCCCCGCGGAGTTGTTTAGTTGTTAAATAGTTATCTCTAGTTATTTATTATCAATACTACAAAAGTTCCGCTGTTGTTAAACACGGGTCCCATTTGCGTACCAATCATTTTCGATAATCAATAAATGGAAAAACTGCAAATAAAAACATTTTGTTACCATCCATTGAAATAAGAGGTATCAAATCAGTTCAAAAATTCTTCCGTCGAAAACTTTGTTCTAATATATTTTTTGTGACGGCGCTTTTATTTTTTCCTGTTCAAAATAAAACCAAGTTTTGATTTTTTCTTGCATTAAACCTTAGAATTCAGCGATAAAAGATAACTTCGTACAAAAACAAACACATTTGTATTAAACACTTTATTCAGTATGATTTAATTATATTCCTTGACTTCAGCTTCAGTTCTGCCTCAAAAGCGACCACAAGAGGTAATCTTGGACTAAGCTTTCTATTCGTGACCTTGAATTGACTGGCTCTAGTTGATTCAGACTGTTCACTTTTGGTCTGTAACGTGCGACCTTCAGCGCGACTTTTTGCCACTTAAATAGTCCATAGTGTGGACTCACCAGTCGTGAACTCCATCACGGTCTATTTTCATTTAAAGGTATCTTTTAAGGAGATGTCTTTTATCACGTGATATACGAAGCTGTCAAAATTGTACCCCCCCCCCCCGCGCCAAATCCGACCCCGGCCACGCATCTTTGAAATAGTTCCATATCTGCCAATAAGATCATGAGCGTGATCTTGTGACCTGTTTTTAAGTTGTGAGCTTCAAATCTTGTGACCTTGACTTTGAACTGTGCTGACCTCGTGAGAGAAGAGTGTCTGCTGTGGATAGAGAGTGATGTTGCAGAATGTGTTGGAGCAGTTGAGTAGTGTGAGCAGTGGACTAGACGGAGACTGGTCCGACCGGGTCAACTACTTCATCACCTCCAGACTATTCCGTGAGTAGAACAAAGAAGTGATTTAAGCCGCATATTCGAATATTCCAGACACTTTTCTTGGAACTTTTGGCTCCTTTTCCTTTCCCCCCCCCCACTTGCAAATTTTTACATGTAAATTTGTTGACCACATTGTCTGATTGTTATGAAAACTTAAATACAGACCAATAAGACCACGACAAACATATGTGCCGAACTTTTGAGGCGAAAAACAATCCGTACGAGATTCGAATAGTCAGAACTTGCGGATAAATTTTTGACCTTCCTATTGATTGTTTTCTGACTCCAAATTCCAGTCTTAAAAAAATTCATTAAAAGTTCTGATTTTGCCATTCAAATGCTTCAATTTTCGATTTTCGATTAAGTTTCCGATCATTCTGTTTTTCCATGTTTTTTGTAACATCCCGTTTTCGGACATCATGCCCAGTTTTCGGACTAGACTTTTCTACATACTGCCCGATATCCGACAATCATTCTCAAACCATAGACTTCTTCCGAAAGTAGCGCTGTACTCTTTGGAACCATTGAAACCAATGTTGCATATACCACATTACTTTGTTTTAACTTGCCGCGTATGCAGCGTGTTTTATAAAACCTTTCCCCGTTAAAATAATAAGTTAAATGAAAAACAATTGTAAGTTTCATTACGACATTTCAGCAATAAGTTCATTGTTTACACTTAAAAAAAACAAGTTGTGAAACTTAGAGGAAAATCCCAGACGAAGGACCTTTTTTATATGCTAAGAGAGGACAAATTCAGAATTCAATGCCATCGATACTAGAATAATTTTTAAACAATTGTGCAAACGTCGCCGCCTGGACTAAGTTGCATCCGATGCATCCGATGAGATATCTAAGATGCATCCGATGCATCCGATGAGATATCTAAGATGCATCAAAACCAAAACCAAACATCTACAATAGATAGACAAATCATACATCCAAGACGAAACAGAAATTGTACAACTCTCAGAGTTCATTTTAATATACTCTCATTACCAACCCCTAACATTTTGGATCTTTCCAGTATTACAATTCAAAGTACTCCTCCACCATTACAAAGTACTTCACAACAAAACACTCCGAACATACCTCGGATTACTTAGGATCAACCCCCACATCAAAACTAAATCGTGAAAATCCCTTTAACCCCATTGGATGACACACGCTTTCACTCAAGGTAAACCAAACTCGGTAAACGACCCTATAGATATCTCATCGGATGCATCTTTGTTATTTCCTAACGTCCTTTTCTGGCTTGTGATAGGACCGGCAAAAGGAAGATCGATTTCCAACTCGTCTTTATTCGACTTCTAGCTCAACTCGCAAGATGTTTGAAGATAAATAATTAAAGATAACGAATAATCATCCAAACATACAAAACCTTTAGGATCACCAGAATATATTTTATCAATTGAGAGGTCTTTGTATAACCTAATTAATTGCTTCTCGCATTTCAAATCAATGATAACCTCTAATCAAGTGAATTCTTTCCTAATATAAAATTTCTAACTTCAGTTTCGCTCATGCTCACTAACGTTTCGATTATCACTCTGAGAGTCGAGATCGATTCGATTCAAATTTTTTAAACTCGTGTCGCCACGGACCGACTTGCAGTTTAAGCTCCAAAACCTTAAACTTTGATCCCCCGGTCAATATTTACAAGTGCAAAGTTCCATTTCTTTCATCAGTCTCGTCTCAGTTTTTGATACATGTATGCGGTATTTGTCACAATTCGCCCCAAGCAAACAAATATTGTACGATCCTAATCAACTAATTCTTGAAAACCTTGATCTCTAGCCATCTCCGCCGCCCTTATTAACTCAACCTCCAAATCATGTGTATTTTCTCAGTGAGCCTCTCAAGGTTTTTGTTTTCATTATCACGCAATTTTTTTAAGTTTCATAGGGCCGGCGAAGTACATAATCCCGGGCGAAAGTCGTAGCTTATGCATCCAAAAAGCCAATGATTTTACAATTCCAATCACAGGGTTTTAGATCCTAAGGGCGTTCTTTCTCCGCATGTTCCCTCGGTCTAATAAACCACCTCAGGAAGCTAGTTGAAAGTCCCGTACCTTTGTATAGTTCGGGTTACATAATTCCCGTGTCCTTCTTATATGTAAGCTACTACTTTTGCGACTACTTTATACGTTCTGATTGTAATTCTATAAATAACGTAATCGCCAAGATAAGTTGAACTTAACGTTTACCAATTCCAATTTAATTAGTTCAATTACTCCAACACTATAGACGAAGAGCAACATAAATTTTAGGTCAAAGACCTTTAATGTATCCCTACAGGTACCTTTTTTCCACTCTTGTTCTCACTAATAGATCAATTTCTAATCCCAGTAGTTGCTTCAAAGGAATACGTCACTTTCCGGTGTAAATTCTAGTGAATCCCATGCAATTCGGGGTCGCAAGGGCCAGGTGTCATCAGGAATCACACTTCTTCGGACAGGTTTAGGGTCTCATGGGGCTCCTACTCAACGAGTTTCATCTATACTTGATTATTACTTCATTTTTTATCTCCTTCTAAATGTCAACTATCACTTTTCCGGGAAAAGAGGTATTAGCGCCGGAAACAGTCGGCGTCGGCGTCGGCATCGCCCTCTCATTCACCAGGGAAGTTTTTTGACACTTGAGTCTATTATACTTAACCGTCAAAAAATTATTACACCCTTGCTCGTTATTCTGGGTAAATTGTCTAATTCTCCTATAAAAAGGTGATATTACCAGTGCTTATATTTTCCAGTTCAACGGTTGCAAAAATTCAAAACATGTTGTATCTTGCCAACCTACCAGGTCTCCAAGTTTTCAGTTTTCTAACATAATCTGGTTTTCAGAAAAAATTTAACGAAAATAAATTAATTTCTATGAGTTTAGATGTGGGTTTGATTACTTAGGGCATAAAACCTGAAGTGGGGGTCCAGGGGGTCAGATGATCCATACTTAAGCATACCTGGCCTAGGTCTGCGACATGCTAGAACTTGATCCTAATACTGCCGATGTTTACCGAGATCCAATGGAGTTACTTGCTCTCCCGATAACCGTTTTAGCTTGCCCCGAGGGGTGTCCGAGGGGTAAAGTTTTTGCATGGCCGGCTCGTATCATCTCGTGTATCCTTTCTCTGAATTTCTTGAAGTTAGCTTCGTTACCTACCATTAAGGGCGAGTTATAATTTTTGGTTACCCCTTCACAAGTCTTGCCAAGGGTGGGACTATTTATAAAAAAAACTTCGAGCAACAGTTGATTCGAACTTTTGTTTGTTTTACTAGTTAACTTATAAATTAGTAAAACCAAGCTACGAACTAATCAATAGCTGTTCTATACTGCATGCAATACTGAGGATAAAATTTTCTATACCAAGTTTTTAGTTGCCGAAAGTCTCCAAGGATCATTGGTCGTTTTATTTGATTTGATTCAACCAGTGGATAGTTTGTTTTGCGCTCAACCCCACCAAAGTCCAAAAAAGGGAAATAAATTTCCCCCGGTATATACTTTCTTTTCATGTTCAATTCCCTCTACCAAATGATTGTTTCAAGCAAATCCATTTTAATCATGGGCAACGTTCCAACCATCTCAATTCACCAGTAAAACATTATCATTAAACCACATTACCTAATGAGATAACCACATTTCACTCTTGCCTTCCCATAACCGCAGTGCTGCTTACACGAAAATTGCTTGTGGCGCAGATGCAGTAGACTAGTGAACTCTAGTGAAATACTGAAATAAATCAAATTTGTTCACCTGATCTTTGAGAACTCCTCTGTATCCATGGATGTTTTTAAAGGAATAACGATCATCCTTGAGAATAATCAGAGTTTTCTGCTCTTTTTTTTCTGCGGTCAAAAACTTCACTAACTCGGAATCCTTAACTAATTCAACATCTTTCACTTATTTCATATTTTGATTGATCATGGGTCGCATTTATCATCATGGGTTCAACTCAGAGTGTAGTGCAAAGTGTAAAAGTAAGAAGCCCGTACGAGTGGAAGATGAACCATCACTTGGATGTTCTTCTTGCGGAAAAAATGGGCTCATGGGTTTTGTGGTGGATTCTTTGTCGACGATGTGCGCTGGCTTGGTACAAAAACGAAACTGTAATAACTTTTGACCCCTGTCTGGCTGGCGGAGTAAATGGACCAACCTTGTCCCAAAACTTACTATTTGACCTATCCCCGGCATTAATGAAAATGAACAGGAGGCGGTCACAAGCTCTTTGCCTTCTTGTAGTGAAATTGTATTTTGCTCCAAAAAGTAATCCCCCATTCCCGACCTGCAGTTTGTAATAACTGGTCTTCCCGAATCCCAGGTTCATTTTTGAAGCAGATTGAAAAAGATTCAACAGTAATTGATGAAATAATACAACATAGAGGATTGCATTCAGAAAATAACATATTTTCTTTTCGACGTCTTGGAAAGAGTACTGAATATTCTCCAAATCAATCGGCCTCTGAAAAACCGAGATGTCGACCGCTCCTCATAACAACATCTAATATACTTTTCTCGAACAATTGCTTCACCCGTAGTCGTTACCTTCAAACACATAAAAACCGGGTAAACATTAAAAACCTTTTTCTTCGCATTCAGACAGACAAACTGAAAAAGATATCCCAGCCAAACGATAGCAAATGATAACTTCGGAGTCTGAAGAAACGAAAGATTTTCGAATCAAAAACTTTCAAGTTTTACTACAAAGGCACACCAGTAAACTTAACTTCAAATTGACTAAGTTCCATAAATTTTATGCTAATGGACTGTCAATCTAATTGTCCACTCGATAAGAGATGCGAATTACTGAGTCGTCCTAATTCCAATTTGATAACATTAGTCTTCCTCGAGAAACTTGGCTAAATTGGGATATTGCCGATTCGGAAACTCTTCTTGGCTCATCCTACAACCGTATTTCTAAAACAGATCGTGGGCGAGGTCAGTACTGTGGTTTAATCAATGCACAATTAGCCAGCGATACTTTCAGAGCAATCAATATTACCATTT